TCTTTCCCTCTTTGTGTGAGGGAAGGAAGCAAAGGCTTTGCAGAGATAATCCCTCAGCATCTTTACATGGAAAGATGTAGGACTGAGTGCTTTCTATTTTGTACTTATTTTCCTTTCATGGGCACTAGTAGCATCATCTTCTTTCAATTACTATTATAAAATACTTTAGATGAAATACTGTGTTATCAAAACAACTGAGTTAAATTGAGTTGCTTTCCAGTAAGGCAGATTCTTGTTGATGTGAATCTCAAGCCCAGGTATCTTCCAGATAGGATTTCTTGAGGGAACCTCATGCATTCACATGGATGAATCTGTATTTAAGAAATTTAAAGCACAGTTTTGCTGTTCTTTTAAACTGGAGTACATTGCTAGTTAAGGACATAAATTCAGAGTAAGTCTGTAGTTTGAGCTGTTAAGAATATAGATTATTTTGTGTATTAATGCTATTTCCTGCATGTTATTTAAGAGGTGGGACAAGCTAGTTTCTTGAAGAACTGTTCTTTTAATTCTGTTTGTTTTTAGAAATGACAATGCTGCTGAACTCTTGCAAGAAGTGTGTAACCAGTAACTATGTGAACTTCTGTTCGGGTACATGACTCAGTGTCACACTGTCTAGAGTGGGTACTGTGGAAGCACTGAAAGCTAGGGTCTTGTATTTGATGTATTTGTTCTTTGCAAAGTGTTTTGTCATTATGAAGATATTTGGTTATGAGAAGGAACTCTTACAATTTTTTTATTTGCTTTACATGTCACAATTCTGTCCTAAGAGCTGATGTGAGTAAAATGGACTGTTCAACTTGTGTGCAGAGAGCAGTTAAACAACATCTTTGGGGACAGGATTTCTAGATTCAGTCCTTCCCAGCATTGACCTTTTTCAGTCTTGTTTGCACGCCTGCTCTGTGTATAATCTACTTTTGTTCAACAGAAGCCTCTCTTTTTTCATAGCATGTAATTTTTCTACTTGTGGTCAGTCCTGAAGAGCAGCTGTAATTTCTTCCCACCAGCCATTTCCTTGCCAACAGTGTCAGGGCTATAATTTGATTACAAGGTAAAGCTGGCTGGGAGGCAAAAAGTTTAGTCAAATATCAAAGAAATTCCTGTGTGTGGTTATGCCTCATTTGTCTAACTCCAAAAAAAAAAAAGACATAAAATAGCTTTTTTAAGAAAGAGAGTAGAGTGAGACTCACTGCATTTGGCATTCACCACACTGAGCACCTGAAGTAACCGCTGCGTCTCCCCGTGTTGGCCCAAGCTGTGCTGCAATCACTGTGGGGTGGCAAATGTGGAGGTTTTAATGACACCTACTATATATCAATTTTACCTTCATGACTGGTGAGAAAATGAGCGAAAGAAACCTGCCACTTTTGAGCATTATATATGTGTGTTTCAGATCTAAGCTGTACATGGCTGACCTTGAGTCAGGATTGCATTACCTGCTCAGGGTAGAACTTGCCACGCACAAGACACTTGAGGGAGCTGAGCTCAAGACCTTCAAGGATTTTGTTACTGTCTCTGCCAAGGTACACGCTTCTAGTCTCTGATTATTTGTAAAAATAAAGTGGCTCTAACATAAAATTTATTAGGTGACATAAGTCTCTCAAAATGTCTTTCAGGATGTTTAAATCTGTGCTTCCTCACTAGCTTAAAAAATAGTTTTGTGGCTTTCTTTCAATGTTATTTTTGAGGTACTGTATTCTTATACTAGAGAGGATTGAAATGCGTTTCAATTTAATCTTAGAGGGCTCAGAATTAAATAAAGCCACAGTAGTCTGCAGCATATTGAACAAACACTGCAAATATAGTCCATTTATCAGATTTTCAGAAGTAACTATTGTAACTGAGTGGGATTAAAAAAACTTGTTTTTCATTCTTGACTCTTGGATTCCATTAGTGCATACTTGAGAAGTGGTGTTCTGCTTAGAGATGGTAGTAATTTCTGTCTAGATTTTGGGTACAGTTGAGGTATTGAAGTAAATTATTTCAAAATAATTGAGGTACTGAATATAATTGAGCATTTAATTAAAGATGCTACATATTATGTTTGAGTGAAGGGACAATATGTGTCTCTTTATGTCTCTTTATATTTGCTTACTGAGTATTTAACACTGTTTTATTTTAACCAAAGTGAATCAATATCTATTTAAGGAAATAATAAGGGAATATGAACTGTTTCCAGATATCTGAATTTATCTGAAAATCAGACAGTTCCTTGCCCCCCTGCAGCCATCAGAGGTCAGAAATCTCTAGCTGGCCTCATTTCTTTAAGAAAGTGTAGTGGTAATCTTTCCATCATATTATCCCTGAAACATCCTCTCTTCTTCCTGATGGCTCCTGGCCAGCTGATGTCATTTGTTCCCCTGGCTGCTAGTGCAGAAATGGGGAATGCTCTTTTCCTTGCATGCTCAGCTCCTGCTGCCATTGCCCAAGGGGCTACTCTCCTTTGCATTCTCTTGTCATGTCACACTTCCCTTGAAGTTCTCATCCATGATTCTCAGGTGTTGCCCTCAGGAAACTTTTTATACTTTCCTCCTGTCTAACAGCATTTGGAGTGATGAGAAATCCTAAGTCACAGGGGTCTTTGGATCCCTAGTTGGGGAATTTTCTGGATCTCTACTCGAGGAATGTTCATAGTTGTAGAATTAGGGTTTTTGACAGTGCAGAAGTCCATTGTTTTTTGAACTCTCAATGAGACTGATACCTATCTGAGATTCTATTGTCTTTTAGAGGGTAATGCATGATATTCTGGGGCTCCTACAGGAGCAAAGGTAATTACAGCAACTACAGCATTCCATCGGTAGCTCAGAGTTGTGCTCATTTTCTTATTGCCTGTTAAAGAGCTGTCTTTGAACCCAAACAAGGCACATGGCCCCTTGTGTTAGAAACAACACAGACAGTTAGGGAAAGGGAGTTCCTGCCCGTTAGATTTGCATGGTATCAAGTCAGTGGTCTATGAATTAAAGACATTATCAATAGTTGGACAAGGGCTGCAGAATGACGAGCTTATGGATAGCATGTCCTGTCATAAATTGCTTGATGTGTTTAGTGTAGCAGATACAGGGACTTTTATTTCCCCATCTGTTGAAATACTGCTCCCTCTGGAAGGGTACTTAGAGGATGGTATGCATACTCCACTTAATTCTGAAGTAATTACAACCATCATTAAAGCAAGACACCATTTCTAGTGTAAAATAATGGCATTGCCTGTGATTTATAGTTCCTCACACTCATCTGCTGCAGTCTGACTTCCTGAAGTTGCAAATTAAGGAAGTCACTATTTCCAAATCACTTTGGAAATCACTATTACACATAGCAAAAGGAAAACATTATCTACATTTACAGAAATCTGAATTTATATATAAGAACTAATTTTTGTTGGTTAATCTGAGGGGGAGAAGGATTTCAGCCTCCCTCACTCCCCTGGGTGTTGTGCTCCTTTCTGAGCTGTAGACTGAGCTGAATTACCTCAATGCAGAATTCTACCTCATCTGTCAAAAGTTACTCTGTAGCATTTCTGCCTGCTGTTGAGTAGCTGCATTTTACTGGTTAACATTTTGTACATGCATCTTGTTAAATGTTGTAGACAGAAGTGGGTGTGAGAAAGCAGAGCAAGTAATTCATTTGCTCAGAGCAAAAGAAAATTGGAAGATGGGAAAAACACATTTAGATAATAAGTGTCTTGCTGCTAATGAGATTTGTGCTTCTCTGTAGCATTTCTGCCTGCTGTTGAGTAGCTGCATTTTACTGGTTAACATTTTGTACATGCATCTTGTTAAATGTTGTAGACAGAAGTGGGTGTGAGAAAGCAGAGCAAGTAATTCATTTGCTCAGAGCAAAAGAAAATTGGAAGATGGGAAAAACACATTTAGATAATAAGTGTCTTGCTGCTAATGAGATTTGTGCTTTAAAATATTATTTTCTTCTGTTTTTTTTTTTTTTTTTTTTCTCTCAGCTTTTTCCTGGCCGTCAGCCTGTGGTAAAGTTGTTAGAGACCTTGCAAGAGTGGCTGGTGAGCCTTCCATTAGACAAAATCCCTTATGATGCCATCCTAGATCTGGTCAACAACAAAATGCGGGTAAGCTGTTACTAGTTCCCAGCATAAAACACTGCATTAGGAAAGGATAAGATTCTATATAAATCTAAGACATCACTTACTGATGGTCCCTCAGTCATAATGGAGTTATAAGAAGGTTAAAATGAAAAAAAAATAATTACCAGAAAAAAAAAAATAATAATCCACATGAAGGAATTGAAATGGAAGAATATGCGTGTTCCCTCGTGTCAGCCTCACATGACAGAGGGTTCCCAGCAGAAATTTTTGAGTTGCCTTTTTGCTCTGCTTGGTATCAGCAGGATTCTCTTGAAGGTCAGAATTTAAGTGGTGGGATATTTACTCATTGAAATGGGCATTATTCCTGAGGAGTTTCCCAACATACTCTTTTAATTTCCTGTTAAGATTTTACCACTGTGTTCATGTAGGTCTTGCTGAGTAATAGGAAATTTTTTGTGTGCCCAGGGAAATTAGCTCTGTCAGAGTTTACAGGAGTATTTGTGTGTTGTGTTCGTGCTGGGCTTAAAAAAGAAAGCTACATCATGTATTCTCTCAGACTAATGAGACATTTGTGGTGTGTGTTTCAGTAGGTTTGATGTCAGTTACTGTACATTGTGTGTCATATAACATGTTTGTAAGAAACATGTGTTTTTATAATGGTGCATCAGAGTATCTCATACTTCAGGATTGTTAAACATTTGCAATGTGTTTGCCTGAAGATGGATTCATTAGCAACAGGTACAGAAGGGGTCATTTACTCTTTATTATCTTTCTCCTTGCATCACCTCAATTTCAAGGTAGGATCAGCTGTGACTGCTGTTGTGTTCAGTGATGAATTTAGGTCCCAGAGCTACCTATGTTTTAATTTTTATTTTTTTTTTCAGATTTCTGGGATATTTCTTACTAAGAAGGTTCAGTGGGTGGGATGTCAGGGCAGCAGACCAGAGCTGAGGGGTTATACCTGTTCCCTTTGGAAGCTGTTTCACACCCTCACTGTTCAAGCTGCCCTGCAATCAAAAGCTTTGCTAAATACAGGTAAGCAGCAGTTGTGTGAGATGCTTGAAGGATGAGACAAATCTGTGCAGCAGTTCAGCTGTGCAACAGAAAAATAATGTTGCATTACAGCCAGTGTTTTTGTGTGTAAATACTCAGCTCAGACATGGGTGGAGGGACTGTGGCTTTCGAGATTTAGCTTTCAGGTTGGTACCAGCAGAGGTCAGAGCATAGCTTTGCTGCCGTGGGGAGGCTCTGAAAGAAAGCCTGGCAGTTTGTTCTTGCTTAGAAATGTGGTAAATAAAGTATGAGCAGTACTTAAGGTCTGAGCACTAAAGCAGAAAAAAGGAGAGAATTTCAAACAAAGAAATTTTGAACTCCCTGAGAAGGGATGAAGATTGTTCACGTTACCTGAAGTTGTGCTGTTAATTTAATTTGAGAAGAATGAGCTTTAAACATACAGTTTAGTAACTATAAAAGCTATACAACCATTAGCCAGTCCTATAATTTTTTTTCCTTAAATACCCAACGTTATGACTGTTTAGGGTTTTTTTCAGCTGAATGTATCTAGTGTCCATTCATCTGTGCATTGATACATGACCTTGATATTTACCTTTACACTGTGTAAAACTGCTCATTTTTAGACTTGCAGCACATTGTGCAGCAGAGTGTTAATATTCTGGTGATGATTCCTATTTAAGAAATGTGCTGTTTTCCTTGCACAGTGGAAACAGAATTACTAGTGTTAAAATACTGGCCTTCATCTGTTTTTATTCTTGCCAGGACAGTGCTTTGGTTGTAGTTCTATTTAATTTTCCTTTAAAGCCTTTTAAATATCTTTTCTAAGGAACATAAGAATGCTAAATTTACTGCTACTAGATGACAAAACTCAGAAATTTATAATTTGTAACTTGCTGATTGTATGTTATAAATAAAATTATTTCATTTCAGATGATGGGTAGATATATTTGTTCAGCATTACTTGTACTCAGTGAAAATCTCTCAGTTCTTACTATTGAATCTGCTGCAGAAAAGGGATTTTTTTTCCTAGCTAATCATCCTGTTGTTGGTTTTTGTTTCTGTCTTTGTTTTGTTTTGTTTGATATTCATGGGACAGTAGGATGAATCCCTTTAATTTAGTACTCTGCTCTGTCTGGTGAGTTTAGTTTTGGTTTTTTCCTCCTGGTTGATACATTAACTGTTCAACAGGATCGTGCATCAGTCACATTTTCCCTTTTGCTCCCAGTTGCCAAAAGTGTTCTAATTAAATGTAAAAATGTTCTTAATGTTTAACTATACAAAATTGTATCTGAAATTGGTCCCATGCTTCAAGCCTGAGCTGGTGTCAGCCTGAAGTTAAAAATACATGGTAGGACCTGGGAACTCTTTGGCACACTTAACCATCCATGTAAATCGGGACAGATACGTGATGATCACTTCTTATGGGGAAAGAATTGGGTCAGTCTGAGACTGTCGGATTATGTCTTGGGAGGTTTTCCTCTCCTTATTGCTTGTTTAAATCCCATCTACTAAAAAGCATGATGTACTCCCTAATCCTTCCCACCACAGGTAGGGTTTTATGGTTCTTGTCCACTTTAAAGATTAGGGTTACCCTGAATTGCAGTAGTTTGGGAGGGAAGAGAAAAGGAGGATTACACGATGATACATGGCAGATGTTAATAGAAGATTCATCTCTGGGCTGATAAAAGAAAAACAAACAAAATGAGCCATTTTGCAATTGTTTGTTTTCTTTTTAAAGCTGCTGTATTTTTCTTGGACGTTTCCTTTACTTACAGAGTCTGGCAGTCAGTGTGAACTTGCTGTGGCTTTTTGATAGAATGGGTTTATTGGTTTATATCTGACACGTTTTAATGGTGATTGGTGGAAATGGAACCTGTGGTAGGATCAGCATAAGGGAATCCAAAGAATCTCTGAGCAGAGCTGCTCCCATCTGAACATGTATAAAATCATTGTAGAGCTCTAGTCCTGAGCATGTTAATTGTATGAAATCTGGTTTTAGGTAGTAGGATCTATTGGCATGAATGAGACAGGCCTGTGGATTTTGTTAAAAATAAAAAAAAATATTAAAAGAATATTTTAAAAAATCTGTGTTCTTTTTAGTCTGTTGCTGAATTTGAAAGTCCTCCCCACAAAATTAATTTTCCAGAGGGTAACATTACACAGGGGAAGAGATATAACTCCGTTCCTCCATAAAGAGGTTATTTGCTAGTAGTTTTGTTGTGTTTGTTGTTTTTTTCTAAATATATTTTTGGCATACATGGTAAAACTGTTTTCCCTGAAATTTATTTCAACTTTCCAAAATTATTTTTCAGCCTTTCTTTTAATACTGTAATTTAATCTGCTTTAATCTCATAGCTTTTACTTATACATGCCTATTCAATTACAGATATTGAATGTCTGAGCAGAGATTGTTTGCTTTTTAGGATTTCTTTTTGGCTTTAAAGACTTTCTTTGCTGCCATGTGTAATAATATGTTGTTGTTATTCTAAATTAAGATGTTTATGATAATTCTTCATGCTTTTTTTTTTTATACAGTTACAGATGAGTACTCTAATTGCTTGGAATAGGTTTTGTTGAGGATTTTTTTTCCCCAAAAAGCCATGGGTGTGTAGAGGATCTTTATGCTACCAAATTGTTTGTTATGCACCACCAGAAAGGGACAGTGAGCAAAGCCCTTAATCCTTTCCTACAGGCCCTGCAAAACCTGCATTGTAAATCCCTGGTGGCAGAGGTGTTCAGCTGCAGGAGCTGAGAATTTGATCAATCAGCATCATAAAATGTGTTTTGTTTGACCACCATGTGTTTGTGGTAACAGTTCATTTGTAAGTACATTTTGGGATCATTTACTAGGTCAATTAAGCATGAATCAGAAAATCTGTGAGACAGAGATGAAACTATTAGGATTTTAACAAATTGTATCTGGTTTTCAAGCCAGTTGCAGATGTAGGGACTACCTGCTGTAACAATAAAGGCCCTGCACAGAGTTCTCGATTGGTAAAGACCTTAATTTACTTCTGAATAATTTTATTATTATTTTTTTTTTTGCATTATCCTTAGTTCAAATGTGTGGATGTTATAGAAGGAATAACACGTTTGTATTTATTTTAGGAGGAATTCCTGAGTTACACTTGAAAGTGCAAATGTTGCTAAGTAGCTATTACTTGTGTGCATTCAGTGCCTGCCAAAAAAGCTGTGGCATTAATTACTGTAATGAGATTCTGGTGTTCTGTGATACCTCAGATTTATGGAGTAACTAACAGGTATCACAGGCACCTTGTGAAATGCTTAGCAGAGGGGTTTTGACTCTTGGTTTTTCAGCAGGTCACCATAATCTAGTGCCTGAGCCTAAGTGGGATGGTGAATGCATAACATGAATATTCATTTAGTTACTTGGAAGTCTGGGCTTCCAGAAGAACTGTGTGAAATACAAACAGGACTTTGTGTGTTTGAACACAAACATGAAGAAACATGTTAATGTCTGATTTTCGTTTACCTAACATTGAATATAACACTACTGCTCACCTAGCTTGTTTTGAACCTCAGTGTGTTTGAAATAATTCCCTTGTAGTTGTCTGATATCCCAGACAACCTTTCAAAACTGTGTTTGTAAATACGCTGTTTGAGAGCACTTGAAACTCTGTATTAGAAACCAAATTATTTGGCAATGAATAAATGAATATATCACCTCCTTAGTGATGATATGAAATATGCATTTTGTTGGGGAGAGGTATTTCTTCTCAGAGCTGTGTGAAGCTTTTAATGCCTCTAATATCTTTGTGCTCTCTGAGGTGCAGGTTCTGTGTGATCGCACATGTGCTTTGGATATCTCTAAATTTGAAAAGTGACAGTTTCTTCTGTCTGAAGTGAAGGTGTAAGTTTGCATGGAACAGGAAGGCTGCAACATTGCCTTGCCTTTCCCAGGGCTCACTTTTCTGTCCACTGAAGTGCCTGTGTTGAAGCTCTGTGTTGTCCAGATGGTGCTAAATGCATCTGTCATCTCTCCTCCCAGGTCTTGAAGACAATCCCCAGGTCGTACTTCAGGTCATGCAGAGATATATCCAGCACTTCTTTGGGTGCAAGGCCTGTGCTCAGCATTTTGAAGAAATGGCTAAAGAGTCCATGGATGCTGTTAAAACCTTAGATGAGGCAGTTCTCTGGCTCTGGAAGAAGCACAACGTCGTGAACAGCAGGCTGGCAGGTATGGAAGACCTGGCTTAGGAAACCTCCCTGGAAGCAGCTGTGTCTGGAGGACCAGACTGTGACATTTCATACACTGAGGCTTGTGCTGGGACAGAGAGGGATGCAGATTAGGCTCTGTAATATAACATGAGTTTAAAACAACAGTAACTTTTTGTTCCTTTAAATTCTTCTATTAAATACGTGCTTAGAAGACCAACTCCTTGTTTACACTGCTGTTCAAGAAAGGGTACTTGTGTATAGAGTAAAACCTAGAGCATCCCAATCAGCTTTAAATTGAAAGACCAGCACTAGCCATGTCATAAGAGCTATAGTAGTACCTAGAAAGGTTGAACCAGATTATCCTTGAAGTCCCTTCCAACCTGGCATTCTATGATTCTCTGATTCTAACCTTTGAATGAGTGAGAAATACACACTGGAGATCCACTGCCCTCCAGTAACATGTGAAACATTATGTAAAAACTTCATCCTTCCCCAAAACGCTATTGCTGCTGAGGTTTCACCTGTTGTTTGATGAGAGGATCTCTCTGGAGTACAAATCAAAGCCTTTTCAAAAAGGAACAGTACAGTTCAGCTACTTATCAGTGGCTAAGCAATAATTACATTTCTTTCTGTAACAGTTTAAATAGATGTTAAAACCTGTCTTCATTTTGTTCTGGAGGGATGCTGGATCTAAAATTATGCTAATTGAACAGGAGACCTTCTCAGGATAAAAGAGCCTTAACTATGAGCAGATCAGCAACTGAATCAAAATTACTGTGTGAAGAAAATCTGTTCCCCTCTAGATTTCTGTGTTTTCAGTTAGACTAAAAGAACCTTTAAAACACTGGTTGTATTTAATGTGTTCTGTTATGGGGATATCAAGTAACTAAAGCACTAAAGGAAATTGGTTTCTCTTTGCACTTAATCCCTGTCTGCTGTTATGGATCTGTGTAATGTAGCATTAGTTACAATTTAAATGTGCTATATTGTGTTTATATTATGGTTATGCTGAATTCCCAAGATTTATGAAATATTAGATACTGTTGTGAGCATAAACAGTTTGTCTCCTTTCTCCAAGGAGAGAAAAAAAGTAAATTATGAGGTATTAAATAAAAACATCCCCTGATGTTTGTTACTATTGCCAGGTTGAACACAGCAAAAGGAAGCCCTGTTGACTTGGAGTTGTTAAGTAGTGGAGCAATGTGCTTATTTGGAGCATTAAGTTATTGGAAACCTCACATGGATATTGATTTAGATGATGCAACAGCTGGCTGAAATACCCTTTTAGTAAGAACTATAAACATCCTAGAATAAATAAGAATGCTAAATTATGCTTTTTAAGTTTGCTAAAATTTCTCTTTGGGACAGTGACTTTATTTTAGTCCCTAAAAGCTGCACCTGTATTACTAGTCTTATATATATATATATATGTGTATATATATATAAAAATATATATAGTTTTCCTTTAGAAATGGTGTTTGACTGGTCAATGAAAACCCCTTCAGGTATGGGTCAAGATTGTTGTGTGTAGCTCTGCCCTATCAAAGTCTTTCCTATTGCTTTAGAATTTACAGATTTTATTATTCTTCTTGGCAGGAAAACATCAAGCACAGCAAGTATTCTGTTTGTAATATTACCATAAATGTTTTATTTCTACTTCCTCTACTGAAACAAATTGATTACTGGGTGACCTTTAAGAGCTCTGACATGCAGAGTTGCTCTCTTACTTGTAAATATCAAGGAGACAAATATTTTTCAACAGCCTTTGAATCCCCAAACAATATTTTTTTCCAAATCATGAGGAAGTTTCTTCCCTTTAAAAATCATAAAAATAATAATAAAGTAAGAACCTATATTTTGGAACTGTTTTAAGCATTAGCGTACTAACAATCAGCTAAATTAACCAGCTTTTTACCAGGTAGAGATTTGCGTTCCACAAATTGTCTCCACCCACATTTTTAAATGTTATTTTTTGTTAGAACAAGGTTTAACACCAGCTACCACGTTCAGCTCTTTGCCATCAAGGCAGAAAGGTGTCCTAGAGCTGAAAATACATCTGAATTATGATAATGGTTTTTAAAGTACTGGAAAGAGTTTCCTGTGGTAGTAGCACAGGCTGTGGAAAAGCAGGGGTGGGATGGGTGACAGTGCAGAAACACAAGAGCTGCAAATCTTTGACCTTGAATCTGCTGCAAACCAGGCTCCAGGATTAAAGAGTATTGAGTGAAAAAGAGCAGTTTGTTTTAAATTGTAGTTAACCCCTGAAGGGCCCAGAGAAGGGTGTCTCCATAGCTCCCAAAACCAGCAGCTTCAGTGTCCTCTTCTGTGGTAACTTGAACCTGGGAGCTTCTACTGAGACAAAAGGAAAATAATTGTGATTGAGTGTTTGTGTTTTGAAAGAGGAGGCAATACTTCAAAACATCATTGATACATCCATAAGGAAACTTATGAATTTCCAAAATTATTCACTATTCTCTTCAGTTGAATACAAACATGATTGTTCTGGGGGCTTCTTTCTGCCAGCCTCACAGGGTGCAGGTGGATGGTGCTCGCTGTGGTTTCCAGTGAGCTCTCTGATGGTTCAGCTCTTCTGATATTTTTGTTTCTCCTCCCAATTAGGTGATTTGACTGAAGATCCAAAATTTCCCAAAGTTCAGTGGCCAACTCCAGACATTTGTCCTGCATGTCATGAAGAAGTTAAAGGATTACACAGCTGGAATGAAGCCCAAGTTCTACAGTTCATGAAGGACCATTACAACAGCAAAAATATTCTGTATAAATACACTGAAAGCCAAACTGACTCCAGTGAAACTGAGCAGGAAGATCCAAGGGAGATGGAAGACAAAAGCCTCCTGAAGAACCCGAGTGGAAACAGAGAAAACAGGATCCAGGATAAAGAAAACAGACCAGGTTCTGAATCGAAGGTGTTGAATAAGCTGATAGGAAATCATGGACCTGTCAAAGACAGTGGGAAAGGTGCAGCTGGATCAGCCAACCTTAAAGAGACGAAGCAGGCTGTGTCTTTCTTAGGGATTGGGTTTTCAAACCTAGACATGAGTCTGTGTGTCATACTGTATGTGGCATCATCCTTGTTTTTAATGATCATGTACTTTTTTTTCCGAGTGCGGTCGAAGCGGTGGAAGGTGAAGAATTATCGCTCGTCTGTGTAGGGGCTTGAATGGGACACAAAGTTTTCATTGTATGTGGCTGTTCAGTACCAGACACAGCTTTAATATTTATGATCAGGGATTTTATATACAGTATTCCTTGTTGAAAAACCCTTTCTTTCCAAGTCATTTCACAAGTGTTCTAGCTTAATGTATGGAGCTCCCTGTAGGAACCTGGTCTTTGCCTGAGGCACACAGTGCTATCCCAGAATGTCCACTTTCCAGTTAAGAGTTTTCCATGACTTCCCACCTATGTCCTTTACTCATTTTCAGAGTAAACATTACATTATGTGATCGACTGTGCCTGGTTTTAGAAGGAAATTGGATATTGTTTTGTGTGCTTCAAGTCAGGGTTGTGTTTTTTTTCTTTTTAATTTCTCCAGAGCTGATTTTACCTGCCAGAGCACTGAGCAGTGGTGCTGCTCCCTTGGCTGCTTCATTTGGAGAAGTGAGAGTTCTGATAATATTTTTTTTTTCAGGAAACAAGAGTTCTGTTCTGACTCAATCAATTCTAAACTTATGTGACTTTCTCAAATGTTCTTTTCACTGCATATTTAATGTAGAAAGCATTATGTATTCAAGGGAGTCTTTGGTTCTCCTGTGCATTCCAGCCAAGGATGTGTGTGCCTCTGCTAGAAGGAGAGTTTGGGGCAGTTTGTATCTCAGTGAACAGCCTGACTCTGATTGCTAATGCAGTCACCTCTTGTACTGGAGTTCAAATGTAACTGAGGACAGACTCAGGCCCAGAGCTTTATTTGCTCTGCTGTTAGGTGCCTTGATGAATCATGAGAACTCCCCTCACTCATTTATGAACCAAAAAAGTAGTTGAGTATTGGAAGCCAATTCTGATGAAGCCTGGTAAAGGAAAACAGTGTTTTTAGTGAAGGACACTGGGATTTGCATCAGCCTGCCAGAACAAACTCCTGGATCTGGAAATACCAAGTTTCTTATGCTGTTGGATCACTCCATTACAGTGTGGTAGTTTTTCTTTCTGTGAAGTGGGTAAGCACTTCCCTTGGTGTTTCCAGTTCTGAGTTCACAGAGTATCACCTGTTAGGTGTAAAGGTGTCTGTGCAGTACTTAGAAGAACAGGCCATTTCTCCTGCCCTTCTGCTGGAGTGATCTTCTCTTTGGGTCAGGAAGGGTTTAACCAGTGGGTAGGTCTGAGAGCTGCCCTGTTCTGGGATGTGGCAGCAACTGGGAATATGGCAGCTGCATTCAGGGATCTGGCTGGCTGGGGTCCTGCCTGGCAGCAATTAGAAACCATGAAAACAGTTACAGTATATTGCAAAATTGCTATTTGGAATGGGGGTTCCTTTCTGATCCTAGCTGGGGGGCGTAATTCATGTCCTGGGTAGTGAAGTTTATAATTCTATCCAATGTAATTGAGCATGTTCTAGTTATCCATTACCTAATCTTTAGTTAATCCTAATAGGTTTTGGCCTCAATGTTTTCTTGTGGCAGTGAGTTCTACAGATTAATTATGTTATATAAAAAGGCTTTTCCTTTCAATTCTACATTTGCAACTTTTAATTTAATTGAAGGTTTGCTGGCTCTTCTATTACATGAGAAGAAATACATAGTCCCTAGCCAATTCATGGTATTTATACTGTTACTGTCTCCTCCTCTTATTCCCATCATAAACCCCAGCATAAAAAGTTTAAATCCTAGCAACAAGGATGGTCTGAAAGCACAAAAACTCAACAGGGAGATTTTTTTTTTATAATCATATTTTGTTTGTTCACAAAACCAAATGTTTCTGACATGAGTTCCTGCAGCTTCCGATTGGAGGAACAAAATTTGGCTTCACACATGTGCTGTCCCTTGTTCCTTTAGTTTATCAAAATAGCAAACACATGAAGTATTAACTATCTGTGGTTATTGTAAATGTGTTGGAGGAAAGAATCTCTGTTCAGATGACACTTTCAGCCTGGTGTACAGAGGGGGGCATTCCCTGTGGGTCTCTTAAGCCATCTTCACTGTTCATTGTCTGCACCTGGTGGCTCTTGCTCCAGTATGGGAAGCTTGACTCTGTGCTCTCTCTGTGAAGCTGGGGCCCAGCTCCTGCCACCCATGGCCTCTGCAGAGCCCAGAGCTGCTGGGAGTACCAGCAGGTGACTGATTATTAATTAATCAGCCTATGCCCTGACATGAAAACTTCTCTTTTTAAGTCTGCAATGTTCAGTCTGAGTGTGTAAGGACCCTGACTGTCCAAGAATTTTGGGACAAGGAGCCATCATGAGTCTCTTTAGGAATGTGTAAGAATCCCTGTAATTATAGCACCTAGGCTTGAATATTAATTAGAACAACTTGTGAGCAGCTAGAAGGATAGAGACCCAGTGGTGTGAGGTGGGCCAGGCTGGCTGGTCCACACTGTTTGCTTTGTGCTGCAATCCAGTGAGAGGTCCCAGCTGGGGGCTCGTGAAGAGAAAAGCCCAGAGTTTCCCAATTTGGTTTTGAAAACTGGACAACTTTAAGTAACTTCATTTAGGAAGGTTTTTTTTATATATCACCCAAGAAGTAGGGCCATTTAGCTTCTCAAAAAAAACAACGACCAAGCCTACCAAAACTGCAGCACAGCAAGTGCTGGATCTGGGAAATGTGGTCAGTTCCCCTTTGTCAGTGTTGCTGGACATTTTGAAGTTGGAAATGAGTCGTTAGTGCTGTTACTTAGAACTCTGCCAAATACATAGACTCAGGCTTGTCAGCTCTGACACATTCTGCTTCTTTTCATCTGCAAATGAAAACAAAAGGCTTTGAAAGTTTGTTGGGATGATTCTGCCATTAAAGAGCAGCAACTATCAATTTAGAATAAGGTGCGGTTTTTTCTGCACATCATTGGTTTTCATGTCACTGTGACCTTGCTGGAAAGGTGACAAAATGAACCAATACTCAAACCTCCAGTGTTATTGTTTTGTTTCTTAAGAGTGTAAAAAGCATTAAATCAGGATGTTGATGATCTGTGTTGGTGCTTTAACTCTGTTGCCAGTGAACAGGCCAGGGCTTTCACTGTAATTGCTAGTAGTGCCCTCATCTGGAAAAGCTTTCTTGACTTCAGTTGAGTAAGTCTTGCTTCACTTGTTCTTATTTTCAATCTTTATAATGACAAATTATATCCTTTTATGTAGTCTGATTAAAGATATATTATGTCTGCTGGGGAATGTGTGCTGCTGCTTTGCTGTGGAGCATTAGCAGTGAGTGAGTTGCAAGAAGTGTTTCCTTTTTAAAAATTGCCCCAAACCACCATCTCCTCAGTCCTGGAGCTTTTATTTGCACATTGTGCAGCACCACAGAATTTTCATTTGTGGATGGGGCTGTGCTGGTGGCAGCCACTTCTGAGAAGGATTTATTGGCCCTTTGTAATTCATGGAGCCTTCTTTGCTCTTTGGGAGTTTTTGAAGAGGAAATACTAAACCTGGATAGGAAATAAAAGGAGTACAGTGGAACTATGCCAGGGAAAAGCTCCAAGTGCTGAAGAAACCTAATGAAGTTATTCCTGACAGCTCTTTAATTTTTCCTTTCCTGCAGTGTATCCATCCTGCTGTTCCTGCTCGAAGCTGGATGGGATCTACCATCTTAACTAAAGGTGCAAGGTGTATTGTCTAGGTCTGTTGCATATGAGGAGCTGAAAATAGTGAATATAACTGTTGAGTAATTTAAATGTTTTATTTATTTATATTCAGTAACTTGACATTTTCATGTCTGGTTTGTTTGGGTTTTTTTACTCAGTCTCATACCTCCCTAGGAAGGAAAAGTGACCATTTTGTACTAAATTGTAAACTAATGTGCTTGTTTAAAATAAATTGCAAACATTTGGGCAAAGTGCTTGATTTTTTTGGCTTTTTACTTGTATTTTCAAGTTTCTTTTAGCTAAACTGTGTCACTAAGACAGCTTGTACCCGTGTCCATTTCAAACCATATTGGTTATTTGATGTGGGTATGTTTTGAAAAGCACCAGGAGCAGATGAACTTTTACTCCCTTTTCTTTTCCCTATTTTCCCCTATAAAATGTCAGTGAATTTTTGCCGGAGTGATAGAAAAATTGACAGTTTCTGACCAATTATTTGCACATTATCTCCAGACATACACAGAGACACAAATTTTCCTTAACCCTGAACATTTCTCCTTTGCTCAGGGTGGTGCAACCTCCACCAGCTGCTTCTGAATCAACTTCTGCGGGCACCTGTGGTGCCCCTGATGAGGTGGGTCAGGTGGCTTGTCACACCTATTGATTATCTACCTGCAGAAGCACTCCAAGATATTTTTTAGTAATCTGTAAGATTTCTCAACCTGTATATGAGGTTCTTTGAAGTTTGGTGCTGAATCCCACTTCTGGGAAAGCACTGATGTCCCCTGGAGAACCTGAAGAATGGGCTCACAGCCTAAATGTCCTGAGAACTGCAGACATTGTCCCTGCTGGGGCAGGTGTAGGAGTGCCCTGACCCTGCACCCAAAGCTAACACATCTGCTGCCTGGTTTCAAAGAGGTGCTGAGTCTCATGGCTGCTCTGACAGGAGCAGGAGGGCATGGGAACACACAGAAATCACCCAAAGGGGCTTTGGTGGGATCCTGCCCAGATGGTGCCACAGTGTGAGTGACCTGTGGGGCTGAAAACATGAGGCAGGGCTGACAACATGAGGCTGGGCTGGCATGTGCCATTGATGGTCCTGAGCAGGACACTGGCCACTGCCCTCTGTCCTGTGGAGCCACAAGTGCCACAGCCTGGGGAGTGGCCACCACTGCACACACACGCACACACACACACTCTCAGCACTGCTGAGAAAACCAAACAAAACTGAGCTTAAAAGGGACCCTGAGGATCATCACCCAGAAGCTGCTCGTGGCCCTGGGGAGGGTTGAGGTGCTGGTGGTGCCTGGCAGGACTCACTGCAGTACCTGGTGTTTGCAGCCTGACATTCCTGGGTACTTCATTTGGGGAGCCCAGATGCCAGTCCCCAAAATGTCTGTCCACATTATTTTCCAACCTGTTGGGTCTGAGCTGTCCCCAGACTGGGACCTGCCCCCCCAGCCAGATGAACCACCTGAGAGGTGATGCCCAGCCCAGCCCTGAGCCACGCAGGACCTGGCACAGGCAGGAAGGCAGCCCAGCACCCAGGGGTGCTCAGGAGCAGCACGGGGCCAGGGCAGGTGCCACCAGGTTGGGGCTGTTGGGGTCTCAGTGCCGGGTCCCACCCCCTGGCTGCCCCCACGGGCGGGCGAAAGTCCCCGCGCTGCCCCCCGGCAGGAACATATGTGTGCTCGGAGCCTCCCGCCCCTAAGCTGCTTTTATTAATTTGTAATCCCCTGCGAGCAGGAGGTAAAGGGATTCGGGGGATTAACGGGCTCACAGTAACAACCACAATTATCAGCTCCGGCTGCCTGGGGCAGCGGGACACACACGCACGGGGACTGCCCCCCCGCACACAGACACACGGACAAGTGTGCACACGCAGACACAAGAGCACCCACGGGCAGAGGAAGAGCACACGGGTGCAGAGAGGGGCACACACGCCTGTCTGCACACACACACACACCTGTCTGCACACACACACACAGCCCTCCGCACCCCCCACGCACACGAACCGCACAGACACCCGCGCACACACGCAGCTGCACCCACAGCCCCGCGTCCGCACCCGCTGCACCTCTGTGTGCACACGCGCGCTCCTGCGTGCACACCCACCCACACGCAGTGCAAATACACACACACACGTCCATGTCCTCCCCGTCCTCAGTTGGTGCAATGAACCTCCTCCAGCCGCAGGGCGCTGATGGCCACGGGTCAGACACGAGTCCTCCCTCGTTACTTCTCCACGCTCATTAACTAATTAGCGGAAGGGGACCAGCCCTCCTCCCGCTCCCCCCGGGAGGCGCTGGGAGAGACCCGCGCCGCGGGGACAAACGAAATCCGAGAGCGGGGGCGGGCGGGGGCCGGGCGGTCCCGGGGGAAACGTCCCCTCGACGGCGTCTCCCCAGACCCCGCCGTGGCCGCTGCCGGGGGCTTTGGGGGGGCCGCGGGGCCGCTTTGCCCTCCAGG